ATATTCTGAAAAACTATTTTAGGTTGAGTTGAATTGGATTACGAATATAATAGGATTATGACAATGTGGTTGGTATAATATTTAAAAATTATATTAGAGTTGGATAAAATGTTAAATAGTTATTTGGTACATTTTTTTGAAAATATTTAAATTATTTTTAACCCCCTATATTTGTTAATTTAGCTAAACACCCTCATAATAAAACTTTAAAAATTAACAAAAATACCCCCAAAAATGAAGCCGTCAACTACGGTCAAAATCTGACTATCATCAATGGAAATTTGGCCAAAATCTAGCTATTTTCGATCAGATCCATGATGGATTTGACAGAAAATGATAAGATCGGTGCACGATCAGCTAAATCTGAAGCGTCGTGTATCGTTCTGGTGTCGGCGATGGTTGCTAGCTAGAGTGCTTTAGTAATTTTTAAACTTTTATTGTGAGAGGTGTTTAGCTAAATTAACAAATTTAAGGGTTAAAATAATCTAAATGTTTTGAGTTGAATAGAATAGGATAAACAAAACAAGTACCCCCTCCTTTTATTTTCAATAGAAAAAATATTATTTAATTTGGATTAATTTTCAATAAGTGAAGAACATATATTTTATTTTTATTTTTTAATGTAAGATAAGAGTGAAACAAATAGGGGTTATATTTTTAAACTCTGGACGTCTTTTCGGACTACCATTTTTGCAGCTTATTCTCTCTGGTAGAAGTCCTATATTTTTAAGCTCTGGATGTCATTTCGGATTGACATTTCTGCACTGAAAAACAAAATTGGATTTACTTAAACATCCATTGAATTTTAACTTTAACACGTCAAAGGCCGTAATTATTGCAAGGGAAGAAGTTATTAACCCAGAATGGCATAAAAGTCCACATACTGCTCAGATGAAAATAAGACTGAACGAAAAAAATGGGGTCTTTGGCTTTTAAAAAAAAAAAAAAAAAAACCATGAGTAAAATTAAATAGTAATATTACACTCATAAATTATTTTCACTAATTTTCTCTCATAAACGCAATGTGACAATTCATAATTGGTCAACTCATAATGGATTCCGTCTGTCCAACAATAGTTTCTTATTTATCTATTGATCTAACATCAAAATCATGAGTTTTATATAAACTTCTACGTAGATTCTACCACAGATCTTATATACTTCTTATTAGTGCAAATTACAACACAAACAAACTTTAATCTCAAATAATTTGTCGGATTATGATTAGGGGTGCATATGAGCTGAGTCGAGTAGTGGCTGGCTTGAGCTCGGCTCGAATGTATTAGGAGCAGGCTTGAGCTCCAGCTCGACGAGCTCTGGCGCACGAGCTCGAGCTCAGCTCGTTTAAAAAAATCAACGGCTCAAGCTCGACTCGGCTATATATAAGGATTTGAGAAAACGGCGTTATTTTGAACCCACCTACTTCTTCTTCTTCCACCGCCCCTCCCACTAACTTCTCAGTCAAATCTGCTGAGACCAAAATCCAACTCCTCACCTCCACCTAGTATAATCTTCACTCGATCTACGTCATGAGGAAACTACTCACCACCATTGGAGTCCACCCCACCGTCATCGAACTTGTGAGATCTCAGCTTTACCTCAGAACTCCTCTCAGGCGCCACCTACGTTAGTGGCCTTGACTCTCTCTGTTTTCGATCGAATGAATGACTTTATTTCAGATTTTAGGGCAAAAATGAATACGCGACCTGAAACCTTATCGATCGATCTTACAAGCTCTCCTACTCGAATGACGTTTCAAGTGATTCAAATAGCTCGCGAACAGTTTGAATCGAGCCCGAAAAGCTCAACATTTTTCACGAGCTTGAAGTTGAGCTCGAACTCGTGAACTACTCGTTCTCCAACGAGTCCAGGCTGAGCCGTCACGAGTCGAATCCGAGTAGCTCACGAGCTACTCGGTTCAACTGCACCCCTAATTATGATGGACCTATATTAAAAAAAATATCATCTAATTTTAAGTCATTTTAAACTTAATTTTAATTAATAAGATTATTTCATTGAGATTTTTCTAGTTTAGCAAACACCTCCAATAGTTTGGAAACTATTGAGTGAAGGTCAATGTTTAGTGATACTTATAGTTGTAGAGGATGTTAAAGATAATTTCCAAACTATTGGGGTGTTTAAGGACAGCAACAATGTTTTCATACGTATAATGTATGACTTACGGTTGGAGCATGTGGATAATTTTTTATGTAGCTAGTTGTGCTTCTTGAAAACGTGCTCTGGTGAGTGGTGGCTTTATTAAATCATTTATGTGATATTTGCAGCCGAGGATTTGTAAAATCTAAGTTGATACCTTGGTTGAATTTATTTTAGATGTCTACCTTAAATTAACACCGTTAATTACTATTGAAGGTGATTGGAAACGGTAAGTGAAGTTGGCAAGTGAAAGTATAGGTTTTAGAAAAAGAGTTGTGGAGAGTCCAACTGTGGCCTTGGAAGTGATTTTAGACTTTGGAAACAGCCGGAAAAAGCCAAAAACTACCTACTTGGACATTGCTAAAGTGAGCCACTTTTTGATAAAATGACTCAATCTTCTACCAAAGAAAGCGTCAATGCATTTTAGCTTGCTAATGTGTGTCATACTACAGTAAAATGTTAGTAATCTGTTAAAATAAAGGAAACGATATTACTTTAAAGGTGAGAATCTGGAATAAATGCAACCAAGAGTATCAACTAGGGATTTCGCTAAACCTCAAGTGAGAATATGTCGTTTGCTCTTTAAAAAAAAAAATATATTTTAAAATTAATTTAAAGATTATATAGTACTATTTAGAAAAAGGTCATAGTTATATAGTTTAATGATCTACTGAAAAAAAAAAAAAAAAAAAGATTGTAAGGTCTATCTATCTAAACTTTTACACCTAAATAATGTTGAATTTTAGGTATGGGATGCATTTTCATCTATTGCAATTTTGCAATGAAGCTCTTTCGAGATGATTATACGAGTGACATTGTTTAAGTCTTACCAAATTTCTTTGTGTATAAGAATTTTGTGATGTCCTCTCCCCACGTGTTTTCTTAAAAGAAAGAAATGGAAATTCAAACATGGAAAGTAGCACTAACTGCAACTGGGGTATAAAATATAAATAAAAAAGTAGGTGAGCAGGAGCTTTTAAGAGAAACAGTTTAGTTTAATTTATGCCCTTCAGTCTCTAGGGGAGTGATAATCCGGTTAATCGAACCGGTTTATCCAAACTGAAAATCGAACCAGTTTTTTGGTTTGGAGAAAATTCAAACTAAAAAACGGACCGATTTTGGTTAAAAACTGAATATAAATCGAACTGAATTTTCAGTTCAGTTACTGGTTAACCGGTTTTCAAAGTATCATTTAATCCTTAAAATTCTTTAATGTTTCATTTAAGCTCCTAAATTCAAATATTTATTATTTTATATATAATATTTTTTTTGCTTTTATATTTAGGGTAAAACCGGTTTAAAAACCAGTTTTCGGTTAACTAGTTTGAAATTTTTTTCAAACTAAAAACCGAACCGGTTTTCCGATTTTTTGAATTTCACAAACCGAAAACCGAATCGGTTTGTTAAAAAACCTAATTTTTGGTTCGGTTTCGGTTCGGTTTTCAGTTTATTTATCCCACCCCTATTAGTCTCATGTATTTATACTTAATATTCATTCTCTCTCTTTGAAGTCTTATATTTTTAAACTGTGATCCATGATGGATCTGGCCGTAGATTTGGCAATTTTTGACTGGATCCATCAGAAATAAATATATCGGTGTATGGCCGATCAGATCCGACCATTAGTATGCCGTTTCGACCACTGTCGCCACCACCGGTGGTGTTGTAGGCAATCGACAATAGCTTGGGGTGGATGGGGGTGATTTGGATGGAAATTAAACTTTTATGTGGTTATAATGTTTTAACAATATCTTAAAAGTAGGGGTTAAAAGAATTACACAAAAAATAACAAAAATAATATTATATTAATATTAATAAAAAAATAATTTAATAAATTATATAACACACCTAATAATTTATTTGAATGAATTAAATACATATTTAATACATATTTAATAATCATCATAATAATTTATTTTCATTAATACGACAATATTTACCGAATTGAATGTCTTTTCCATCAACACTTTTGCACCTTATTCTCTCTTGTCGAAGTCCTATATTTTTAAACTCTGAATGTCTTTTCGGACTGACATTTTTGCAGCTTATTCTCTCTGGTAGATGTCCTATATTTTTAAGCTCTTGATGTCTTTTCGGATTGACATTTCTGCACTTAAAAACAAACTTGGATTTACGTAATCATCCATTGAATTATAACTTTAACACGTCAAGGGCATAATTAATTAATTATTGCAGAAGAAGTTAACCCAGAATGGTATAAAAGTCCATATTGTTCAGATGTGAATAAGACTGAATGAAAAAAGAGGGTCTTTGGCTTAAAAAAATAAAAAAAATAAAACCATGAGTAAAATTAAATAGAGTGATACTAGGCTCAAGACCATTTTCACTAATTTTTTCTTATAAACATGACGTGTTAACTCATAATTGGTTAATTCATAATGAGTTCTATCTACCCAACAATAGATCTTACTTATTTAAATACGAGTTATCACATTAGCGTTTGTAAGAAAAGTTTGTGAGAAGTATTTATCAGTCTATCTTTATTTAATTAAATATTAACTATCTTCTTATAACTAAACATAGCCTTGACGGTGGGGAGTAAATTGTTTTTTGAAATACAGGAGAGGGAAGTTTGTTTAGTGAAATCTTAGGGGGGAAAATGTAATAAACTCTTATTATTATTTTGAAAATGTTTAGGACTTTGATGTTACTGTTTGGAATCTCTGGGTCTAGACGTATTTCTTTTGATATAATAGAAGATATCTCTGGTTTATTATGTTCAAAAGATTGGTTTAACTTATATCAATTTTCATAATCAGTTTCAATAATATATCAGGGTTAGAAGTTCTGTCACCATCACAGGCATTGAGGTGGGTCTCCAATATCAAAATGTAATCTATTATAATATATAATATCCAAACTCAAATCTCCAGATGTGATACGACTCATTCATCTATATTTATTGAATATTTATGGAATTAACTTTTTGTATACATTCATCCATTCATTAGATGATAGGTCAATTTGTACATCTGGTATTATTCTTTTATGATTATTGCACTAGACTGTAGATGTATGCGTGTTTTCTCGGTGAAAGATGGTCATGGATTCTTGTATTTCTTCAAGTGTTCGCCCATTAGTCTCTGGCACAAGCTTTGCAATAAATAGGATTGTGAAAGCTCAAATGCCAGAGTATATGAAAAATGTTCCTGCAATTGTTTGGATAGAATATTTTAAATTATAGTAAAAAAAGAAAAGAAAAAGTGATCGAGAGATGTAAAAAAATGGGGGGGATTGGTTTAAAAAATACATACCTGTTGGGCTCCATTCAAACATAAAATTGAAAGTGTATGCAACAGCCCAAGCGCATACAGAATTGGCAAAAGTTGAAAGGCTTCCAGCTGAGCCCTTGATGTTCATGGGAAATACCTTAAATGGAAGCTTGGTCATTTCTCAAATTTTCAATCACACTGATGAACCAAACTGAATGTAGAATCAAACTCTGATAGAATTTTATACCTCGGACATTATTACCATTGGCAACCCCGTCATGCCTATGGAGAAACTTATTATATAGGCCTGGATACATATATGATGATTGCAGCATCAATCAGCCCTTGTTATTTAATTTTCAGGAAAAAAAAAAAAAAAAAAAAAAAATTCAGTTTCAGTATTGTATTACCATTATGCCAATATAAACCAAAACTGGAGTGATCTCCTTCCAATAGTTGTGATACTGATCATGAACAAACATATCAAAGAGTTTTCAGTGTAAAGATTATTAGTGAATTTTACCATTTCAAATCATAAACAGACACAAAATATGAAGATTTCTGCTTTGGGAGGAACCTGCAGACAGAATGATAAGCCAAGAAGGAAGAAACTGAAGCATGTTCCGGAGCTTGAAACCTGCATGACATTTGAAACTTGTGTATTCACTTATTGCTATACTTCAAGAAACTTAAAATGAAGTTCTTATAGCATGAATTCTAACCATAAGAAGTGGTCTTCTTCCGGATTTGTCTATTAAGATAACAGATACAAGAACAACCGGAATCTGCACAAGATTTTCAATTGGTATATATATGAAATTGCAGATGGAAAAATCTCTTAATTCACTTGCAGTTTATAAGAGTCAATTAGTTACCTGAATAATAGCCATGGAGATAGTCCCCACTTTACTTGAAAAATCTTTCATGAAATAAAGATTCATATCAGTCTTTACTAATTGTTTAAACTTTATCAATAAAAACATTAAGCAACACTGAAGGCTGTTCACTTACTAGCTGCTTCAAATATGGAACTGCAATAAAACAAAATGGCATTAATCCCTCCCAATTGCTGCAATGACATAATCCCAATTCCCACCTAAAACAATCGCAGAGTTCAGAGAATTAATTCACAGAAGAAAATTTACCACAAAAATAATTGTTTTCTTTTTCATAAACTCACTATGAGTGCATTAGCATATCTGGGCCGGAACAGGTTAAAGATTCCTTCTTCGGATTGTTGCTGAAAGGCCTCTGTGTAAACCTGCAGAATAAAAGAAACAAACATATCAGGTGGGATATGCCAATACTTCTAAATGAATTTTTTTTTTTCCTTTGAGTTGAAATTCAAGATTAAGAAATAAAATATTCACTTTGATGTTAGCTGATTCCTGAGAAATATTAGCAGTCCTTCCCCTAAGTTTCTGTAGAGCAGCATCTATTTCTTTCTCTCGACCAACCATCGCCTGCAGTTAAATACAGATCGAGCTATGATATATGGTTCAATGACTCCAATTTGTCAGACAAAATATTCAGAATAGGACTCACCAACCATCTAGGGGATTCAGGAATGAAGAATATACCCAATACTTGCACAAAGCATGGAACAACAGCTGAAAATTTGAGGAATGGTGTTCTTCTTATTAAAGTTCTGTAAGTACCTAAATCAATTAGTATTTCTATAAGGGCTAGAAGAAATTACCGATTAGAGCCAAGGTACGCCAGGAAACAACAGTTCCAAGAACGTACATCAGTAATATGCCGCTTGTCACCATCAACTATAAACTTAAACGATCAATGAGTTGGCTAGATCCGAATCCAATAACATTACTACCTAATACATTCTAAAATGATAAAATCTAACCTGATTAACCAATGTTAATGCTCCTCGAATATCCTTAGGTGCAATTTCTGCAACATATACAGGTGCCTGTTTTAAAACAAGAGTGCAAATTACTGTCATGCTTCCATCAATCATTCATATGAACTATTGAGCTATAATTTGCAACGTTTAGTAAAATTACCACATAAAAAGTGAGGCCTATCGCAATTCCCAATGATAATCTTCCAAGATCCAGGGACCAGGCAGCCTAGAAAACAAGCATTTAGTTGATCAGTTTAGATGAAATTAGTTCTTCTTCCAATTTCTAAGTTTAATTTATTCGAAATTGAGAATGAATTGTACATTGGAGAATGCTATTGCCAGCCACCCAATGGTGAAGAAGAAATCTGCTAACCAGAACGCCTGGTTCATAAGATCATTAATTAGTTGAAGTTTTTTAAAGTTTGAAAATTTATGGTTAGAAGGAAAAAGAAAAAAAAAAAAAAAAAAAAACTTACTTTTCTCCTACCAATGAGATCGGTTATTTTCCCGTTTACTATTGAACCAACCAGTCCTCCAATGGTCAATGCCGAACCAAAAACAGAGTACTGCAGAGAGACAAAAATACATCAAAACAAACATAAATTTGCTAAATTTTTGTGGTCTTCTTTATACAATTAATGACTTCTTGCGCAGAGAATACTTGCTTCTGCGACTGAAAGGCCAAGGTCCTCCATGATTTCAGTTTCAGTAGGCGACGAATATCCAGCCTAAAAAAGAACAATAAAACATCATACCAGTCATTAAAACTTGATTTTCATTACATTAATGGCTTATAAAAAATGCCTATTAAGTCTAAACTTAATTCAAAAATGCAATTCAACAGGAACCATAAACCAAAGGAAACTACTTACACAACAGCCCAAAACTAAGAAACCGCATATAGAAATGAAGGTGCTGAACACAACAATGGGAGTAGCAGAAGAATCACTTTGTTCAGTAATGTCACTGCCATCACCAGTATGATTTGATTCAAGAATTGAAGAACCTGGTAACAGTCCTTCCTCCAAGCTTTGTGATCTCCTCATTTTAAGAACAGGTAATGGAGCGGATTTAGGTAATCATAAAAGAGGTGGCATTTGTATTGGAAATTGAATCCTACTACTTACCCCATTCACATTCCTAAGTTTCATACAATTCGTAGGTTTATAAAGCATTGAATCGACCCATAACTAGTTTACGTTTAAATCATTTGTTTATGTTAAATTCTTGACTTTGATTCATATCAAACAATTTACGCATTGGGGTGGGTCTCCCAGAGTCGTAATTAATCTATTAAATATAAATAATTGTCCCAATCCATTTAAAAAAAAAAAAAAAAAAAAAAAAGGTTCCATCTGCAAGTCTCACCAACCCTAGTTTCCAAACTATCACATGCCCAACTACTTATCTAATTCCTTGAAAGAGTAAACAACTTTTCCATACAGGTTTGCCTTAATGACATTTTCCGACCTAAAGTTAATATTCTGTTACTACCCAAAGCCTATTCTATTGCAAAAATTCTCTCCGTCACCACGAATTTCTGGTATTTTTTATAGAACTCCTCTCACTCCACACCTGATTCTCGGATTATCATCACTGCAAAACTAGTGTTTCTTGTTCTTAGCTAATTTCTGATTTCCGATGATACCTTGATATGCATTCATTGGTCACCACCATTAGATCCACTAACCTCATTCTACAAACCCTCTTACCTTAGCTTCTGGTAACTCATCGAAAGCTAGTAAGAAAGTGATGTATTTTGGTGCATTAACGAATAAAACCTTGGAGGGAAAGTGGTATTTTAAAATTTTTTGGGTGGAAAAGGGTTATTAAGACAAACCTTGGGTGGGAAAAGTCGTTTACTCTTCTGACTCTGAACATTAATATTTCGGTTTGGCACTCTTATTCCAAGTAATAATGAATCAGAAAGAGAAGCTAATTAAGGTTTTCATATCTAATCCCTAAATTAATTATTACTTGTTTCCTAATGACATATGGTTTGTGAAGAGGGTTGTGTTTATTTCTTCAAGTCTTCGCCCTTAGTCTATGATATAGCTTCAATGAATCTATTATTCAATTCGTCAGACAAATTAGAATTTGTAGCAGGATTAGCCAGCCATCTGGGGATTCGGGAATGAGAAGAATACGCTAACTACTTACACCAAGCATGGAACAATAGCTGAAATTTTTAAGAATCTATCTTATAATTAAATTCTGTAAGTACCTAAATCAATTAATACTTTAAGAGCAATAAAAAATTACCGAAAAGAGGCAAGGCGGTGGAACACACAGTTCCAGAAAGAACATTAGTGATATACCGCATGTGAGCATCAACTGTAAACTTAAAAAATATTTGTAAGTGATAAATGAGTTGCTGGACTCAATAACACAATCTAATGCAGTCTAAACTGCTAAGATGTTACCTGATTAGCTGTGTTGATGCTTCTCAAATATTCTTAGGTGTAATTTCTGCAACATATGCAGGTGCCTGTTTAAAAGGTATATTCAGTAAACAGGTGTAATACTGTCAGATGCATCAATATGCCTTTAAATAAATAAACTATAATGGAATATTCAGTAAATTACATACCAATTATCAAGATGTTCTCTAAGATCCAGAAACCAGCATCCTTAATCCCATCAACAGAGAAAGTGAGTTATCAAAAAAGCATGTTGATTCAAGCTAATATTTCTGAGAATCTTTTCGTCTGTTGGCTCCCAAGATGAAAGTAAACTACCATTTATATTATCATGATTGTTTCTTTACAAAATCAATCATGCAACATCCTTCTTCAGATTCTAAATCTTGTTTTACTGTTGTATGAATTGTGAGAAATGAAAATTGTATAACAAGAAAACCTTGGCGAATTCAAGAGTGAAACCCAATGATGAGAAAAATCTGCTAACCGGAGCGCCTGCTTCACAAGATAACCAAATTTTTGAGAATTGTTAAAAAAGTTAGAAAGTTTATGTTAGACCATGCTGGTTACACAGAAAATAAAATAAAAAAAAAGAACTTACTTCCTCCTACAGCGAGATCAGTTATTTTCCCATGTACTAATGAACTTACCAGTCCTCCAATTGTCAATAACGAACCAAAACAGAATACTGCACAGAGAGAGAATACATTTTACATTCGGGAACATTTAATTCACCTAAATTTGCTTAATTGTGTTGGTGATGTGCTTGTAACATAAGAGGGAGTTGAAATCATAACTTAATGCTTACTGCTGCAACTGAGTGGCCAAGATCCTCCAGATTTCAGATTCAATAGGCGACAAATATCCTGCCTGCAAAGCAAGCAGAAATTACCACTACCAGTCATTCAAACTCAAATTACATCAATGGCTTATAGAGTAAAACAAAGTCATTACTTACATAGCAGCCAAAACGAAGAAACCGAATATGAATAAAAGGCTGACGAACAGTAAGAAGTTGCAGAAGATCACTTTGATTATCAGCTAATTCACTGCCATCACCAATTCAACCATTTTTTCAATAATTGAAGACCTTGGTAATAGTACTTCCTCCAAGCTTTGTCTCACCATATTGTGCATTTTTGAAAGAAAGAAATGGATATTGAAATGTGTGACAATCCAGCAGGATTTTGTAAGAGACTAACAGAATACCGTTCCATATGTACATTTTGAACAGTATTGTTCAATTATTTTCTCACTGCGAAGAAGGAGACAACACTCTTAATAGATTACTTTGCTGTCTACTGCTTTGATATTTGTGAGTATAGGGACCATTTCTCTGTTTTGTGACCAAAATCAATCACATTATTTGGGTTACCATACAAACATCTGTTCCATACCAGTTAGTTTTCCTAATCATAACCACACTAATTCTCATATTTCATGGATGATTAAGCATACTACACTTCAAATCCCACAAATGGCTCTTCCAACTTCCAAGTGAAGAAGAGAGATTTTGGTGAAAAGAATATTTAAAACCTTGAGGTTTTGGATTTGCAGTTGTAAGAATGTTTTGTCATTATAATTAAAGAGGATGTTATGCAATCAAACCAAGAATCAACCACAACAACCAGAAAACAGAAACACAAAACAATCAACACCGGATCTTTACCGTGGTTCACTTGCCCTTTGAGCAAGCTACATCCACGTTGAACTCTGGAAAGGGAGTTCGCTGCACATGATTATAGAACAACCACTTACGTCACGATTACAAGATTACACCTAAGAACCCAGATCAAACAACTCTGATTCAACCCGTAATCTGCTCTAGGAATCCTCTAACTTGGAAATCCCTATAACAAGAACACAGAAGCTCTTCCCTTGACTGATTAACCAAACCACCAAAGAAACCGTACGATTGCAACTGAAATCAGACCAAAAGAAAGAACCTAATCGCACAAAAGAAAAACGAAACACGACTCTGACTTTTTTGTTTGATACCCTGTTAATAAGAAACCCTAATCTTTTATAGTGTTGACTAGAGGCTTGTGATCTCAACCGTTGGTTTTTCCTCTGAATCAGCAGTCAGGATCATCTGGAGTGCTTCTCAAAACGACACTGTTCCATTAAAACTTAGTACGACGCCGTTTCAGCAGTTCACTCACAACACTCCACCTTGAATGCTAAACATTCACAGTGCAGCAAACCCAAACAGTTCTTCATTGTTCTGGTCTTCACAGGTTATCTTACATGCAGCAGGTTCAAGCAGTGCTTGAACTTTGCAGGTGAGACAACCTTGGTTCATGTCAGCTGGATTATCCTCAGTGGATACTTTCTACAAGATCATTCCGTGTTACTAAGTCCCTGACGAAATGGAAGCGCGAATCCATTTGCTTGGTCCCGCTATGGTATATGGATTCTACTGAGATGAATTGCACTTTGACTATATGATAATATAGTAACCTTGCCATCAGTCAATTTTGCTGGCTAACAACCTTGTAGCCACATAGCTCCTTAAACCTCAGCATAGCAATATTACTTTGCTCAGTTGTTGAGAGAGCAAACAATGGCTAAAGCTGTGACTTCCAGCTAATGCAATTTCTCCAAGGGTTAAGTAAATGAAGTGGTGGATTTCTTGTGTCTTTGTCACCTGCAAAATCAGAGTCTACAAAACCACCAAGTCAGTGTATTATGCCTTTTACAGAAATTTAAACCAACATTCAGGGTACCATTAATGTACCTAACACCATTTTAAGGCAATCCAGTGCTCACTTGCCTGATTTGCCATAATCTGCTCAGTAAGGAAATGGAATAGGACAAGTCTGGTCTGGTACGATCTTCCATACATCAAAGATCCAACAACATTTGCATAGGGGACATATTCCATTTTGATTATCCAGATAGTTGTAGGGCATTGCTTCTTGTTACACACACATGGTTTGTAAGAGGCATGGACACTGGTTTGAATCAGCCATACCAAATTTAGAATTAGTTTTTCCAAGTATGATTTGCCTAATGATTAATCACTGTTTACCCTTGTCCTAATATGATTCTAGGATTCTTTTTTGCATTTCCTAGATCCTTCATGTCAAATTCGATCTAGCTGACCCTTTAACTCATGAATTTAGACTGAGACCACACAAGTAACATATCATCCACATACAGTAAAAGATATACAGGCAGATTATGATTCAAATTAAATAGAAACAATTGTAATCATACTCCTAGTGTATCCTAAGTTACAATGAAATTGTCAAACCTCTTATTCCAACTGTCTTGGGGACTGTTCGAGTCCATACAGTGATTTGTGTAGATGCACACACGGTCAGGTTTCTTAGGATCAATAAAACCTAGAGGTTGGCATGTAATCTCCTCTTCTAGTTACCATGTAGAAAAGCAGTGGTAACATCCATCTGTTCTGTCTCAGGTATAGATGGCCAATAATGGAGAGCATTAACCTAATGGTTTTCTTACTGACACAGGAGAAAAGACTTCATTGAAGTCTATTCCTTCGCGTGTGGGTGAACCCTAGCTACTAGCCAGCTTTGTACCTAAGAGGGTCAGTAGCTAAAATTCCCTCTTTAATCTGTACAACCATTTGCATGATTAGTTTGGGCCTTGGGTTTGGGAACCAAGGACCAGGTTCTGTTTACCTCAATGACCTCATTTCCTCTTCCATTGCTTGCCTCCATTTGTCTCTTTCCTTAGAGTTCATTGCTTCTTCATCGAGTTTGGTTCTGTTCTTGAATCCCTGTTCCTGCAAGCAAAGAGTGTATATCAGTTCAGCATAAGAAACCTGGCAGGGGGTCTTACCTCCCTCCTTATTTCTTCTGGCAAGTTG